TGTATGAACCCAAGTACAGAGTTTGTGAATTAATTATATTCGATTGAGGTTTGAATGATTGAATGACTTGAATCCTGATCAAATTCCTGTTGTTTCTGCTTTGACCTGGAATGAGAATATCTGCCTAGGTTGATAGAGTACCCTTAATCGAAGGTGGCGAATTGGTGACTCTAGTCGAGGAGCCAATTCACTATTCTGTACCGAATTCAATTCGGTAGTGGAGGTTTTGTTCATAGGGCCTCAATCTGTTTACTCCGGTGGAGGTTAGTCGCCCGCTAGAGAATCAGATTGAGAGGGTCTGAAGACCTTTAGTCGAGACTTCAGACTGTTTGAGAACCTTCCGCAGTATAACTATCATAGAAATTGAACTTGGTAATTACAATCCGGCTTAACTGCAGACTAGGGGGAACCATATCCGGGTGACCTCTCTTAACCTGAAAACAACCGTTTAGTTGCTTTGCTTGCTTGTTAGTTTAGACCTTCACTACAGTTTCATTGCTAGATAATACGAATTCACTGAGTAGTCATCACATCTAGGACCCGGGTTGACATTAAAACCCAAACCCGCTATACTACGCTTTAGGAAGTGGTTACACTTGGCCATTTTCTAGAGTGACAGTAGGAGTGAGTCAGTTGTCTTTTTTGAACACAATATGTTCTATTCCTAGTCTACCTCGGATGATGAGTTTTTTGGTTCTCATAATTCCCTTCCCATATTTGATGACTTTGATGATGATATTCCTATCCTGTCCCATGATCCTGCTGATCCCCCTTCCCCTCATGATCTCTCTTCCCCAATGATGAGCGCCTCCAACAACGCATCTTCATCACCATCCACAGGCAGCAGCTCCACGTCATCTCCAGGCCATTCTCCTGTTCAAGATAGCACTTCGGATTTCTCTACAGGGGGCTCCTCTTCTCAACTTTCTGCTCCACCTCCTTCACGTCGGTCTGTACGCTCCACCAAAGGAGTCCCCCCTCCTAGCTTCCAGGACTATGTAACATATGGAGTGGACACTTTAATTGTCCCGACAACCTTTAAACAAGCGCACAGAAATCCCATATGGGATCAGGCCATGCAGAAGGAATTCACTGCATTAGAGGCTAACCGGACTTGGTCAGTGGTTGATAGACCTGACCCGTGTCCTCCTACTATTGGCAGTCGGTGGGTATTTGCAATAAAAGTACGACCGAATGGTTCAGTGGAGCGTAACAGGGCCCGGCTAGTTGCTCTGGGCTACACAGGAGCATGGCGTAGATTATAATGAGACATTTGCTCCTGTAGCTAAGATGTCCACAGTTCGTACCTTACTTGCTGTTGCTGCTTTACAGAACTGGCCACTTTATCAGATGGATGTGAAGAATGCTTTTCTTCACGGGGATTTAGAGGAAGTAATTTATATGGAACGTCCTCCAGGTTATACAGTTGGTCGTGAGGATCAAGTTTGCCTCTTGCATCGATCTCTATATATATGGTCTCAAACAGGCACCCAGGGCCTGGTTTGAGAAATTTCAAGCAACCATTGCTCAGCTCGGCTTCAGTCAAAGTCTCAATGATCCCTCTCTCTTCACGAAGGTTTCTTCAGCTGGTATAGTGGTTCTGCTCCTTTATGTCGATGATATGGTCATTACAGGAACAGATTCGACAGGGATATCTCACTTAAAGGTAGGCTTAAAGCAACCATTTAGTATCAAGGATCTTGGTACTCTCTCTTACTTTCTTGGTCTCGAGGTCAGTCGAACTGATCAAGGAATTTTGCTTAGTCAGAAGAAGTGTATATCTGATCTCCTTAGTGATCACAATTTTGGTGATTGCAAACCGGTCAAAACTCCTATGGAGGTTAATTTGAAATTGCAGAGAGATTCTGGTGAACGTTTGCGGGATGGGTCTCAGTATCGTAGCATTGTTGGTAGTCTCATCTCTCTCTCTGCTACTCGACCCGATATATCTTATGCCGTTCAAGCAGTAAGTTAGTTCATGTCTGCTCCCTGTATTGATCATCTTTCTGCAGTTCACCGGATCTTGCGTTATCTTCAGGGCACTCAAGATATTGGCATTCTATTTCCTTCTCATGGTGTGCCTCGCATCTCTGCTTATTCGGATTCTGATTACGCTGGTTGCATAGATACTCGGTGTTCAACATCTGGCTGGTGTGTGCAGTTTGGTGGAGCATATATATCATGGCGTTGTAAAAAGCAGGATAAGGTTTCTAAATCTTCTACAGAGGCTGAATATCGTGCAATGTCAGAAGTTGGATCGGAAATGGTTTGACTACGTCGACTCCTGTCTGACTTTGGTGTCACCTGCCCTATACCGATGGAGTTACATGTTGATAACACCAGTGCTATTCGTATCGCCGTTAATCCCGTCCTGCACGATCGCACGAAACACATTGAAATTCACGTTCATTATATTCGGGATCTTGTTCGTGATGCTACTATCCAGCTTCATCATATTCAGACAGAGGAGCAGGTCGCTGATCTTTTTACGAAGGCTTTTCCTACCAGTCGACATTGGTATCTCAGTAACAAATTGATGCTTCGAGATAGGCATCAATTTGGGGGAGGATGTTAAGTGATGATCATGCTAGGCTACGATTTATATGGGTTTATGTAGGAGATTATGTAGTTAATGATTGTATGGCCTATTAATTATTGTTAAGCCCATACGTCATGTCCATGCAGGCCTATGCACTAGGTTAGACGTGAGAGAGTTGAGTTTAACCTAGAGGGACACTAGATGTATAAGAGGAAGAGTGGTCCTGCCGCCATCATCATTGATTCTGTAACCTTCCAGTAAATCAGTAGCCTGAAGAGCATTCAAAGCTCTTCCGTGGATTAGTCCTGGATCTCCAGGGATACCACGTAAACTCCGTGTCTGAGTCTATTTTCGTTTACTGTTCATCGTTTATCGGTTTCTGTCTTCATCAACACCGTCATCGTGCTCTGCCAGTGATGACCCTCTCTGTCATAGAGCTTATCAATATTACGTCATCGTAAAGTCTTCCTTTCTCATATCGTATTGCCTGGCTGGTGCAGATTACCACAAAATCCCTCTAAAATGTCTATTTGTGTTCTTGTTTTGCAGGTTCCTTATATTTTTAATGGTTTATTGCATTTATAGTCATAGTCCCACATTCTCTATTTTGGTTTGTAGGAATGCTTCCTCGGCACTCTCAATGACTTCCTTGGCAGAGCCTTTGGAATTGGAGGGTGTTTTCGGCTCAAGATAGGGTGCATAACCATGGGTTATGCACCCATCAATAACCAAATCTGGACCCTTCATTTAAAAAATCCAGATCTAAGGATGGAAAATTAAAGGCTATTTTTATTTTCACTAGCTTTCTTAATTGACTCATATCTTTTTTGTTTTAACTTGGATTTTAATTTTTTTTGCACAGATGGAACGATTTCACCGTGCTCTACAAAATGAGATCAATTTTCAATATTTTTTGAGAAAAAAAAATTATGGCCTCTCGGTACCAACTGCATACCATATGGTATCTTCTTCGTTTCTTATTCATTTTTGAAAACGTTTGCACAACAGGGACGAGTTCATCATGATCTACTGGATCTATAAATTTCTGGGTGAACAAATTACAGGACCAAAAAATACCACACAATACCATACAATACCACCCTGGTACAGGGTGGTATTGTATGGTATCTTCTTCGTTTTTAATTCGTTTTTGAAAACGTTTGCACAGAAGGGACGAGTTCATCATGATCTATTGGATATACAAATTTCTGGGTGAACAAATTACAGGACCAAAAAATACCACACAATACCATACAATACCACCCTGGTACGGGGTGGTATTGTGTTGTATACAATGTTAAAAGTCGTAAATGACAATTAATATACTTCTACTATCATGTATTCAACCATCCTACAGTTTGGTTTGTTCATACCACCATGGTACGTTTTCAAAACATAGGTATGCTTTTATTTCAATACCAGTCAATACCATATGGTATAGGCTAGTAAAAAATGGCTCAATTTTTTTGTTCGAAAAATATATTAAAGTGTATATCATTTTGAAGAGCACAATTAATCTGATCTAACTGTGCGAAAAAAATTAAATTTCGACTTAGAATGAGCGAGAAATCGTCCGTCAAAGATTAAAGAGGGAAAAATTAAAAGCTTTCTATGAGAGAGAGGATGCTGATGTCATGCTGATGTGGATGGGTTACTCATGGTTACTCACCATAAGGTTACTGACCTGATCCATTCCCGATGTTTTCTTCCCTTTAGTGTTTCTTTTCACTGTATTCTTAGGGATTAATAGAGCTACCCATTAGATTGACTAAAATGGCTCTTTCACGACAGATCAATTAGTATTGACTGTCGGGTTTGGTTGCTTGTTGTTCTCTATCTATTTGTTACCGTTATCTATGGGAAAAAACTTGAATTAATGGTATCAAATGGTCTATTGTAAATGTTTGCAAAAATATTTGTGTACCTAAAAAGAAAGTTATTAAAAACTTTGATCCCAAATAGTGCCTAGATAGGTTTGTTGAGCTTAATTAGACGTGATACACATTCTCATTGTTTAGTATTTTTCTGGGTTGGGTAATACATCAGATAATGGTCACCCCATTGCTGCCGCCCGTGTCGCCGGCCGGCAACCGGCAATGCCGGACATAAAATCACAAAAAAATCCCCACATATTAAATTATACGTTCATTGTGCAATGTGCACGTGATTAAATTTAAATAGCCCCACATACTATCGTCTCGCGACACATTCTGTTCCTTCTGTTCGTTCTTCAGCACCTAATTAAAGGTTTTCTACTTACACGATCTCTATGGCGCGACGCTTTAGTCTGTATAGTCAAGCCCTCTGAGAAACGACAAAAAAAAAAAAACCCCGTCGTTTTGATCGAATAACAAATGGGCACCATGATATGCGCCTTAAGCATATATATATTATAAGCCATGACAGAGCGAGCATAAGGCACATTAATTCCACATTCATACAGAACATGGGTGGAAGCAGGATGAAGATTGCATCCATCGGATTGATCGTCGCCATCTTGTGGGTGGCGTTAACGATTGGCAACGCTGTCGCCGGCGGAGGCGATTTCCATTACCTAAGGAACGAAACGACGTTCAACCCGCGTAAGAACCCGGCACTGCGGGACTGTCTGAATGATTTCAAAACCTTTCTCGGTGACGGTCGTTACGCGGATCAGTCCGGCAACCGGGATCGCGTAATTGCTTATGCTTCCGGCGGAAAGGTGGCACTCTACACTTGGGTCCACTGTACCTCTGCCGATTTCTTCCCTTGCTACCAATGTCTTCAAGACGTCGCCGTGGTGATTGATCAGTGTTGTGTCCGTTCCTTTGGGATTGATATTAGAAACGACGAGTGCGCGATGAGGTACGAGACTTACCCGTTCTGATGATAATCGATGGTTTTGGAGTATGATTAGCAAAAACAGGCCTCCAGTCACTTGTGATCTCCATGTACTTTCTTTGTATGTTGATCATTTTCATTCCATCGTGTTTTTTTCCTTGTCTGTTTAACGCCTAAAAAGTAACTTTGGATATCATTGTAATTCTGGAGTATTGATAATCATTGGATTTCTAGAGATATATTATCTTTCTACATCATGCATCAATATGAATTTCTAATATGTTATTATACCTTAATGGATAAATCCGAGACTCAGAAACTGAAAATTAATTTAATAAATAATAATAATAATCAACGATTCTGATTCGTCAATAAGTACAACGAAATATATCCAACAATCAAGCAATCTCTCGGAGTATGGTATGCTACAAGAGTACTCGAGTGCATGTAACCTTTTCGAGGAAGCTCCATTCTCACTCTACTGTACGTTTCAGTCATATCTAACTTTGCTGCCAAGTAACCTGTTTTCCTTTCTTCTTCTTCTTCTTCTTCTTTCGTATAATGAAAACATTCAAATTAAGGTCATAATCAAATTGTCCATAATCAACCGCCATGCGTTATGTGTGTCTTTGAGAACAATTCATCACGCATAATTTTAAGCCAGGTGGCCAATACCTTAGATGTCAATTTATAGACCACCCGACATAAACTGATAGGTCAAAATTCATTGGGATGCGAGAAAGATTTTTCACCTGCAAAATAAGGACAAAGAGAGCATGGTTTAGTTGTCGTATTAGATCATAAACTTTTGTGATCTTTCTCTCAAATGTGGGCTTTTAGTTTAATACATGTAGTATATTTTCTAATACTTAGTTTGTCAATAATATGACTAGAAATTCATTATCAAACCTAATAATTATGAATGCAATTTTGTGTAAGGGAAGTGATTTATCTAATCCATCATGTGATCGTCCTAATCGACAATGTCATCTACCGCAAACTTTCATTAAATCATATAATGGATCAAGATACATATACGTAATTGCTAGAAGATTTAAAATGAATGACTGGAACGTATCTGTCCAAGCACTTGCAATTAGGGAAGGTTTCGAGGTTTTAACTTCTTAGTTAATAAATTTCCTCCAAACAGCACTTTAGATCGCTGACGTCACCGCCGGTAACAGTTTCCTGCCGTCGGATCCTACCATTCCCCTTCAGATTTTGACATTAACAATGATAAAAGGCACAAGAGTGGTGAGTGGTGTAGATGGCTATATTCATCATTGCGCCATTGTTACAGATCAGGGAGTGTGAGATATGACATGTACGTGTGATCTTCGATGAGAGCCAACTTACCATTTCGGTAGTTGATGCTCACCTTAGTTTTACATTTGCAGGTGGAGACTAAATTCCAACACATTGGATGCTATCAAATTGGTATCAAGGGAGGAATTCAATAGATAGAAGCCTACAATCACATCTGCTGTTCGATCTTATCTAATCATGCCTCTAACGAAGGAATTGTGGAACTCCTCGAAGTTTGGGGTTTCGGAAACCTCCCTGGAGAATGATATGCCTGCTCTTTGTATCTTATTGCTGTAAGTTTTAACATCGATTTAACTCAATTGTACATGTGACTAGGTTGTTTCCCGCCACATGGTTTCCCTTTTGTACTACTATTACCACTCTTGTTAATGGGCGTTCCTTTGCTTTCCCACTCTGAAAGTGGGTCGGTAATGTAGGTTGTTATTACAATAAAGGCACCACCTTTCCTTCCCCTCCAGCAATATATCTTGGGTTGAATCTCGATGTGTTGATGTGACTTGAATCGGACTACCAGTCGCTACGATTGGATTAGTCGGGGTCTCGCTGCCCGGTCAGCGAGTGGGGTCCAGGGGCAACGTCCATGTGGGGGTGCGGGGGCAACCGTTTCCTTTGCCAGATTGGATTAGGTTTAGACCCACATGGAGAAGTACTATAAATACTTCACATTAACCTTTGTAATCTGTAATCTCCTCGATATAGTGAAACTGGCTCTCTCTCGCCCGTGGACGTAGCTAACACACATCGTGTTAGTGAACAACGTAAATTGTGTGTTGTGTTTTCGATTCTCGCTTTCATATTCTTGCTTTGTCGATTCTAGCGGTTTCCCGATCCGTAGCAGCGCGTTTATAACAAGTGGTATCAGAGCCGTGGCTGGAAATCAGATTAGGGTTTTCGATTTAGAAGAATGACGTCGGTGAACATGTAGATCAAAAAGTTCACGGGGAAGAACAGCTTCGCTATATGGCAGATCAAGATGCAGGCTTTATTGAAACAACAAGGGTTCTGGGGGCCGCTGCCTGCGAAACAGAAGAAGGTAGCGGTCGATGACAATGAGCGGAGTACCCTGGAGGAGAAGGCCCACTCGACCATCATGCTATCGTTGTCTGATGACGTCATCATTGAAGTCGCTGCTGAGAAGACTGCCACGGGCTTTTGGTTGAAACTAGAGAGTCTCACTACAAGAAAACAGACATTTAGTGTCGGTTGTTTTGTGTCGGTTCATTTAACCGACACTAAAAGACTACTTTGCGTCGGAAAATTGTGTCGGTTATTTAACCGACACAATTTTCTACGTTTCGTGTCGGTTCATGCTAACCGACACAATTTTCAAAGGATTTGTGTTGGTTATTACTCTAACCGACACAATTCTTATACTTTTGAATTTTGACAAAAATGATAGGCTATTTTGGCTCCAAAAATTTTCAATGTCCACCGAAACTTCCCTCCTAACAAATTGAAAAATTTCCCATCTATAAAAAAGTGAAAAAGGAAAATACAATCCCTTACCCCAGTCCCCAAATAAAGAAACCCCTCTGCCCAATCTCATCACACGCCATTCAACTTTCCTTCTATCCTCTCATCCTTCCTTCTTCGTTCCTCTCCAAAAACGAACCATTCACCTGCTCGGCTGCTCCTCTTTTCTCAATGAGAATAAACCCTTCTTTCATCTCCTTCCTTCGATTCCCATCTCAAAATCGCTAGTTGTTTACTTTGGCGAGATCCGGCGACGATGGTGGAGAGGCCAGACGGCTATGGCGAAGAGATTGAGAGGGCGACGATCAGCCAAATCCAGCAAAGATGGCAGAGAGATCGAAAAGTGATGATCGGCCAGATCCAGGGAAGATGGCAGAGAGATCTATAGGCAACGATCGGCCAGATCGGCGACGATGATGGAGAGATCGACAGGCGACATCGGGAACTGAAAATCCATGAGTTAATCTAGGTTTTTTGCAGGTTTTGCTTCGGCAGAGGCTGAGGTTCCTGCGAGGTGGAGGCTGAAGGTGAGGCGATGGAGGTAGGAGGAGCTGGTGGCGGAGGTGGAGGTCGACGAGCGCCAGGCCAAAGGTGGGAGACTTGCGGCAACGACGGAGATGGATTCTGATGCATTTTTTTTGTGTTTTTATTTTTTGGGTCTATTTCTGGGTTTGAAGAGAAAAGGTAACTATGGATTCGGTTTGTTTGGAAGGAGATAGGATCCTTTTCTGTGGGTTTTTGCGTTTATGTGGTGGTTGGGTTTGAAGTTCACATTTTCAAGTGTTTGCAAGGGTTGTAATTGATGTTTAGGGGGTTGTATTTTCTGGGTTTGTGAAACTTTTCTGGGTTGTGAAAGAAGAACAGTTGTTCTGTTTATTCCGATAGTCTTGATCTGTTTTTGGTTTGACGAGGAAGAAGAAGGGGAGAGAAGCTGAAAGGGAAGAAATTGGAGTAGCCACCGGCCAGTGGTCGACATTTTTTTTATTAAAAAAACTTCATATTGGAGTCGGTTAGTGGACCGACACAGATAATACTTCCAATTAAAAAAAAGGAAATTTCTTGATAAATAATTAGTGGGACTGGATAGCGTGACAACCCCTAAGGGGGTTGTCAATCTCGCTTCCCTCCTCATTGCCGTCCGTTCCCCTTAGTCATCTAGCGGCCAGGATCACAATAAGGGTTTTTTAGTAAGCACAAGGTTAATTCTAATAATTTAAATTGGAAATTAATTGCATGGAGAGAATCCCGGAACGTGATTTGGGGGACGTGATTTTGGGAGCAGAATAGAGTAGACTCTATACCTTCCATTTCTGGCTTCTCCCTCGGCAAACCAAAACCGTCATCTAGCTACGGAAGATACCAGCCACTCGACGGCCGCCACCGCCATGAACGACTACATTAGCGACGACTACGGCAGTGAATGGGTGGGAGTCGAATCTACGTGTATATTTGGCTTGGACCTGAACGTCCCACTGACAATCAACGACGATGATATATACGACTGCGATGCTGAGCAGACGGATCCGGCAGTGAATGGCGCTGATCCGTGCATGGTGGACGTTGACCCCGTTCTGGACATGGAGGAGGCGTTGAACGAAGATCATCCTGAACGGCATGATAACACAGAGAACAATGACAAGTTCGTGCGGCATTCTGGCGATCGCGTTGATGTCGACGACGGCGTGGTCTGCAACTATGGCGGTAGGGTTTACCTGTTCCGTTACGACTTCTTTTGCATTTGTACCGTTTTACTATTGGTACAAATATTATTGTGTTAAAAATGGCACCAGTACCGATAGGATGACACCAGTACCACTGTATTGGTACCGGGACTGCCAGATGGGTACCAATACCACTGCTATAGTACCATTACAGCAGTACCGGAAAATGACACAATTACCACTGATTTGGTACCAGTACAGCTAGGATTTGAAGGTAGCTAGTGGTAGTCATGTACTGGTACATGTAGTGGTAGTCATGTACTGGTACATGTACCAGTAGTTAATAGTTATAGTTCCAGTTAGCTAGTGGTAGTCATGTAGCAGGTTCATTTGCAGTCGTAATCACTTACTAATGTATCTGTTCTTTCTATGTAGGTGTGTTGACATCCATCGTTCCATCAGACAAATCAACGTGGGATCACTTACGTTTCCAGAACCAGGATGAATTTAATCGTTTCTACAAGAGTTTTGCTCATGGAAGAGGCTTTTCGTCAAGAGTTGTTGGAGCAGTTAAGAAGAAAAGGTCATACTTCCCCGAACCATTTGTTTTTTACTTTGGAGGTTCGTGCAGCAAACAAGGGTACAAAAAAGGCAGCAGGCTCGACCCGAAGAATGCGGAAGAGGTCGTGGACTCAGAGCCTCCAAATGAGCGAGAAAGGGGAGAGACTCGTTTTGGTTGCAACGCTATTGCAATGTGCAGCTACGAGCGGGCTTCCGGTAAGTATAAGATTTACCGGTGGACAGACAATCATGTGCATGAAATGCACAATGCATTTTCAAGAAGTTTTATGCGCTCAAATCGGGAGGTGCCATCAGAATATGCATACTTTGCTGAAATAAACGATTGCGCGGGGATTCCTATTCAAAACTCGTTAGAAGTAAGTTGCACTACCTTTTCCCATGTTTGCAGTCACTGGTACACGTCACACTGGTAAAAAGTACCAGTTAATTTACCGGTACCAAATTAGGAGTTTTTAGTTGTGTACTGATACTAGTATTAGGTATCTGCTGGGTAAGATTACTAACCCATGATTAAACTTTCCGTGCAGGAGCACCTAAATGGGCTGAAAACATGAACGGTGACCCTTTGTCAAATCCAGAACCCAATGATGAAGCAGATTGTATAGGGTCCAAAGTGAAGCAGCGGCAGGACAAGCGAATGTATAAGAAGAGGCTAGTGTCGGTTCGAGAAATAGTAAACGAGCGGGTACGAAAACAATTGAATCACGAGCTTAGCAGCAAGAGGAAGGAGTGCAGCAAGAAGAAGAAAACCTAGTCTTATTTTGTACCAGTCTTAGTTATGCTACCAGTAGCACCGATTTTGTACCAGTCTTAATAATGATACAATTGTCATTGTATCCCTCTCTTTAAAGAATTATAACATTTTGTTACAAACATGGCTTGGTAGTTGAGGAACATCCGTCAGTGTACCATTGATTTTGTACCGGTCTTATTTATGCTACCAGTAGCACCGGATTTGTACCAGTCTTAAATAATGATACCATTGGCAATGTTTCTGGTACCAGTTTAATTTATGCTACCAGTAGCTCCGATTCTGTACCATTCTTAATAATGATACCATTGGCAATGTGTCTGGTACCAATAACATTGAATTAGTACCAATAGCAGCCACAGTGTACCATTAATGTTGTACCAGTCTTATTCATGCTACCAGTAGCACCGATTTTGTTACCAGTCTTAATAATGACATTGGCAATGTTTCTGGTACCATTAACATTCAATTGGTACCAATAACATTCACTTGGTACCAGTAACATTTTTAACTAAATATAAGAACCAAGCTTAATAATGATACCATTGACAATGTTTTTGGTACCAGTAGCAAAATTAAAAAACAAAATATGGAGGAGGTATTGCAGTAGCAAAATAAAAACCAAAATATTAGTGCCAATGTATGAAACAGTACTTTGTCCATGACATCTTGTTCATATTTGCAAACATACATGAACCAATGATTTTACTACTGATGTGACACCTGGGTGTATCCACGTAGTAGTCCCTTTTGCATATCCATAGCTTTACCAGTCATTTCCTGCAGCTGCAAAAGGGTGAGAAAGAGTTTCTGTGGGAACGACCGAAAGCAGCAACTAGTGTAACTATGCCGACGAATCAGTATGAGAAAACAAGCATCAATGCAGACCGATCCATGCAAAAGTTGTAGTGGTACCTGTGGGCGAGACGCAATACTCGCCGCCAAACAAAGACTTCAAACACGATCGCCGCCAAACACAGTCCGAGACAACAAATCCTTCACAACGACCGACTACCAATACTCGCCGCCAAACACGATCGGAGAAAGTGGAAGAAAAAGGAGAGAAAGGGTTTCTATGGGAGGGAGACGAAGGGAAAGGGTTTCTATGGGCAAGACGCAAGGTTGAGCGGGCATACGAACGGTTCGGCGGGGAGGGTGGCTGATTTCTCTCCCCCCGCCGATTTCTTTGCCTTTTTTCAAAAAACCCCTGACGTCAGCGAAAATGGGAGAACAATCCAGTGTGGTAGCAGTCTTTTTTGCCCCTGCCCATCTCTAATCGTTGGATGGAGGAATAAAGGGACGGACGGCCAGGAGGGGGGAAGCGAGATTGACAACCCCTAAGGGGGTTGTCACGCTAACCGGTCCCATAATTAGTTTCAGTTATAACTGACACAAAATAACCGACATAAATACAATTCGAGTCGGTTACTCCAGCGGTTGTCAAAAACCAACACGAATCGGTTTAGTGTCGGAAGGTTTCGTGACGGTTAAGTGAACCGACACAAAAAAAAATTAGTGTCATATAAAATAACCGACACTAAACAGTTGTTTTCTTGTAGTGTCTGTACATGACTAAGTTTCTAACCAACAAGCTGCATCTCAAGCGACGGTTGTTCAATTTGAGGATGCAATAAGGTATGCCTTTGAGGGAACATCTCGAACAGCTTAACTCTATTTTGATGGATTTGCGTAATATATAGGAGTGTTCAATTGGTTACCGTGATAATAACCAAACCAATTAAGCCTAAATTTCATTAACCATGAAATAGAATATTTTAACCAAATCGTCCAAATTAACACGAAAACCAAATTAACCAAACCAAAGTTTAATTGGTTTGGTTAATCGGATTAACCAAATAACATAACATTACATGAAAACAATTATTCTGTTAATGAATAAAACATAACCATATGTTATTACTATCATGAACTATCATTATATATAAGCAATAATAATAAGACTAACCATCCATAATTATCATCATCATTCGAGTTAATACATCATTCATCATTTATGCATCTAATATAGTTAGCTTACAACAAACCCTTACCATAAATATTAAATACATACCAATACAACTCATCAGGAAGTTAAAGCTCTCCTACAAAACACTTAAACTATACATAGTTTGAGGTGGCTGTCATTGTATTGTACATAATCCTAAAGTCTAGTAGTTGTCCAAAATGTTTTGGTTTAGTAAATAGACAGGCCCATTTAATTTTTTACCCATAATGTTTTGGTTTGTTGTGCACATGGAAATAAAATAGGGAATCACGAAAGTTTGGTTTGGTTGGTTGCATGGAAGTATAAATAATTTTGTATATTAGGTGTAACATTAATTGGTTAATTGGTTAGCAATATTGAAACCAAACCAAACCAAACCACCTAAACCAAATAAACTAAATTGCATAACCAAACCAAACCAATTAACCGAATGCTATCGGTTAATATGGTTACCACGGTAACCAATCCGTTTGAACAACCCTAGTAATATAGATGCTCAAGTTGATGACGAGGTTGCGGCCCTAATCCTGCTGGTTTCTTTGCCGAGTTCATATGAGATTTTCGTTGATTCTTTTATTATCGGTAAAGAAAGCGTGTCGTTGGAGGATGTCAGGTCTTCTCTTCATACAAGAGAGATCAAACATAAGGCGTCCGGATCTAGTACAGGTTGTGAGGCATCGGGTTTGGCTGTTACAGGTGGAAAGAGAAAGAAGAAATATGTTAAAGGGAATTCGAACAAGAATTCCAAGGGTCCCAGTCCACAGCCAGGTGATGCTTGTCACAACTGTAAGGAAGTGGGGCATTGGAAGTACAACTGTCCCAGGAGAAGAGGCCAACAGAAGAAACAAGGTTCAGTTGCCGTGGCAGAAGTGGACAACAGTTCTGAAGACGATCTCGCCTTGGCTGTAGATGAGAAGGCACATCGTGGTGATATGTGGTTTCTGGATACTGCAGCCTCGTACCATATGTCTCTGAACAGGGATTGTTTCACAACCTACGAGCAAATAGATGGTGGTAACGTGGTCATGGCAAATGGAGCTGTCTGCAAGGTTGTTGGAATCGGGTCCATAAAGGTTCGGGCACATGATGGTTCGTTTTGTACCGTGAATGATGTCAGGCATGTTCCACGAATGACAAAGAACCTGATCTCCTTGAGTCTACTCGACAGCAAAGGCTTCAGTTTCAAAGGAGAAGGTGGAGTTGTGTATGTCTGCTAGAGTTGTGCATGCTCTCTAATGCTGTACTAGAGAGAAGATTCTCGGCAGAAGCAGTGAACATGACATGCTTCTTGATCAACCGTGGACCTCACACAGGTATCAAGTTTAAGACTCCTTATGAAGTGTGGTATGGTAAGCCTGCTGATTACTCTTCACTAAAAGTTTTTGGGTGTCCTATTTATTATCATGTGGATGAGGGTAAACTGAACCCAAGGGCAAAGAAGGGTGTATTTGTGGGTTACGGAGATGGAGTTAAGGGATTTCGAGTCTGGTCACCTTCTGAGCATCGAGTTATACTCATTAGAAATGTGATATTTGATGAGAAGTCTATGTTTAACCCCATGTTGAAGGTTACTGTTGTTGAAGATAGCAGGAATGTTGATTAACAGGTGGAGCTGCAAACTCTCAAAGAGAGTGAGTTTGAGCACCAAGGTGGAGAAGATCAACATGATGAAGATGTCTCTGCAGAGCCAGAAACTTCAGAGTCCACCGGACGAGCTCAATAGTCTATGGCTTCCGGTAGACCGAAGCGAGCGACTGCAGGAGTACCTCCACAGAGGTATGGCTTTGAAGACGTGGTGGCGTATTCATTTCAGGTTGCTGAAGAAGTGGATACAGGAGAGCCACAATCCTATAGAGAAGCAGTTTCGGGTGGTGAAGCTGATCAGTGGCTTGCCGCAATGACATGAATCAGACTTGGGAGCTAGTCAAACGACCACAGGGAAGGAAGATTGTTACAAACAAGTGGATCTACAAGAAGAAGGAAGGAATCACTTCTGAAGAGGGCATGGAATTTAAAGCTTAGGTGGTTGCACGAGGCTTCTCGCAGAGGGAAGGAGTTGACTACAATGAGATTTTCTCACCAGTGGTCAGACATACTTCGATCAGGGTGCTACTAGCAATAGTGGCGCATTATGACTTGGAGCTCGAGCAGCTAGACGTGAAGACAGCTTTCCTACATGGAGAGTTGGAGGAAGAATTTTACATGACTCAGCCAGAAGGATTCCAGGTTCTAGGAAAAGAAAACTATGTTTCTAAGCCGAAGAAGTCCTTGTATGGACTTAAGAAATCTCCTAGGCAGTGGTACAAGAGATTTGACAGTTACATGCTTGATCTGGCTACAACAGAAGTCCATATGATTGTTGTGTGTATCACAACAAGGTGGAGGATGGTTCGATGATCTACCTTGTTCTGTATGTGGATGATATGCTCATAGCTGCGAGGTTTGACATGTCTTCAGCAAAGCCCTTAAATACTCCTAGTGCTTCAAATGTTCATCTATCCTCAGCTTATGCATCGCAGTCAGAGGATGATAAGGAGTACATGTCGAGAGTCCCATATGCTAGTGCAGTAGGTAGCTTGATGTACGCTATGGTATGCACTAGACCTGATCTTGCACATGTTGTTAGTGTTGTCAACAGGTTCATGATACAACCTGGGAAGGAGCATTGGCAGGCTGTGAAGAGGATCTTCCGGTACCTTAAGGGTACACCTGATGTGGGGATTAGCTTCGGAAGTGATACAGAGTGCTTGGTGTCTGGGTATTCTGACTCGGACTATGCTGGAGATGTTGACACGAGGAGATCGATGACTGGTTATGTATTCACTCTTGAGACTTCTGTAGTGAGCTGGAAGGCAACTTTGCAGCCGGCGGTGACATTGTCTACTACCGAGGCAGAGTATATGGCGTTGACAGAAGCTGCTAAGGAGGGAATATGGTTGAAGGAACTGGTTAGTGATCTAGATCTACATCATGATAAGGCAGTGGTGTATTGCGATAGTTTGAGTGCAATATGCTTGGCCAAGGATCAAGTCCACCATGAGAGGACTAAGTACATTGACGTGAGGTATCATTTCTTGATGACAGATAAGATGATTAAGGTGATAAAGGTTGGCACCGCGGATAATCCTACTGATATATTCACGAAGCCGGTTCCACATGGCAAGTTCCAACATTGCTTGGACTTGCTGAATGTCTTGGGTGGGTGACTCCGCCCTACGGGGCATTGACGGAGGGAGAGAGAGAGAAGGACCAGAGTACATCAAAAATTTCAGAGGAACATGATTCAAGTCAAGGTGGAGATTTGTTAATGTGACTTGAATCGAACTATCAGCCGCTACGACTGGATTAGTCGGGGGTCTCGTTGCCCACCACATAAAGTGAACATAGGGGCATGGCCTTGTTTGTTTCGTGGGGTAGGAGTAGGACTTAATGAGGCGACATCATTAGCCAATGTTGGGAATTGTGGTGGCCACTTGACTATCTTCCCAGTTTTATGAGTTTGTCAAGTATTCATGAGGTTCGAGTTAATGACGAATTCTTCTCTAATCAAAGAAAAAGAGACCTTCCCTTCTTCTCTGTTGATTTCCAGTTTGGAAACTGCAATATGGTTCCGCTTTACAGGATGTATGAGAAAAGGAAGAAGAATAACAATCACTAAGAGATTTTGGGAAAAAATCCCAAGTTACACATGTTTTTAAAAAAAATTCTCAAAATACACACGCTATGAAAATAATTCCTAATCTACGTTAGTTTGGGCCATCACCGCTGTCGACGAAGACAGTGATTGCATCACTGTTGTCGACGAAGACAGTGATTGCATCACTGCTGTCGACGAAGACAGTGATTGCATCACCGCTGTCGACGAAGACAGTGATTGCATCACTGCAGTACACGGCCGCGGTGAAGGCCTGACCTGCGTCGAAACTTTAAACAAACGTAACTTTGTGCTCGATTATCCGATCGTAGCGAATTTTTTTTTGATTCCGCATAATTTTTCGAGATCTTGCTAGCCGCAAATTGCCGTAGGCGGTTTGGTCCCGCCTTCGTCTCGAAAATATGTCGTTTGCTACCCCGAACGAGCCTTTTTTCGATTTCGTCAAACTTTGAACTACCATAACTTTGTGCTCCACAATCCGAAAATCATGAATTTTTTTTTATTTCGCGTAACTTTTTAAGGACTACAATTTTTATCATAGACATATTTTCGGAATGTACTTGGATTCCTGAAAAGGAAGGTAAAGTTATTCCCAAAACCCCTTATATCGATAAATAATTCATTTTTTGAAAATTCTCTCCTACTAAATATTGTAGTCCTTAAAAAGTTATGCGAAATAAAAAAAAAATTCATGATTTTCGGATTGTGGAGCACAAAGTTATGGTCATTCAAAGTTTGACGAAATCGAAAAAAGGGTCGTTCGGGGTAGCAAACGACATATTTTCGAGACGAAGGCGGGACCAAACCGCCTACGGCAATTTGCGGCTTGCAAGATCTCGAAAAATTATGCGGAATCAAAAAAAATTTCGCTACAATCGGATAACCGAGCACAAAGTTACGTTTGTTTAAAGTTTCGATGCAGGTTAGGCCTTCACCGCGGCCGTGTACTGCAGTGATGCAATCACTGTCTTCGTCGACAGCGGTGATGCAATCACTGTCTTCGTCGACAACAGTGATGCAATCACTGTCTTCGTCGACAGCGGTGATGGCCCAAACTAACGTAGATTGGGAATTATTTTCATAACTTGTGTATTTTGAGAATTTTTTTTAAAAACATGTGTAACTTGGGATTTTTTCCGAGATTTTGATCATGGAAGAAACAGAGTCCCCTGCATTTTCATTTTCACCCTTCAAGGTTTATACAAACAGAGATGAAATGTACTGCAGATTGCAGAAGACGATATCAGAACATATACGGGAATTGCTCGAAATCGCTGCCGGTGGGTTCATCTTGACTCCACTCAGACTGGTGATTACTATTGCCAAAGCCCTCGAACAATCTGCCGCAGGCCGCCGGGAATTCACATTCACCGTACGTTTCCAATCCAGTAACGGAAGTAGAGGCAGAGGTCGGCGGAGAAGAAATGGAAGCGGCGCATCGAGCCGGTCGAGCTCTGGCGAGGGCAAGATAGACTTGGAGCTCGACCATTCTCTTCTGCAACATGGCTATGGCGCCAATGCAGCCATAGACAGGGTTTCTAAGCATGGCCTCGGCCTCGTAAGCCAAGGTATTCACCGTGTCTTCACGCTGTTCCTCGGGGACTTCGATCAAGATCTTGCTCACGTTGCTGGCGCCGAAGACTTTGTGGACTCTGGCAAACTTCTTGGGCTCGTCGAATCGGAAATGTGGAGCGAAGATGCGGCTGGAAGTGCAACGTCTCTTGAGGAACTTGCAAGCTGCGCATGAAGAGCTTGATCGAGGCTCCTGATGATGATGATGATTCCTCATGATTCCCCTCTCTCTCTCTCTCTCTCTCGCACAGAAGAAAACCTCCACATTCCCCAAATGGCCTTATCCTTTTTGGTGCTTCTTGACTTGCCCCCTCGCCAGCCAACCTTAATATAGCCAACTCCAACTGATTGGGCATGTAGCGATTCAGTTCACGTCTGGGTTAATAAGACCGAATCTATGTTAAGATAAGATCGAACGTTCAATTTCGTTTCTAGAGATCTTACGATCAAATCGATAAATTGGAATAGACTGAATTAGATCAAATATAGTTTTGTTTGGTTCCCATTTCGTAGATTCTTTTACGGTCGAAACGATATTCGAACTGAATCAAGTTGGACTAGACCAATTATAGTTCGAACCGTAGATCATTTATGTGATTGTATGTGCATTCAATACTATGTTAGATCGTAGGGTTATGCTCATATGGGTATACCAACTAAGTGACTTTAAACGTAGTATAACTTCCTTCTAAATCTTATAAACAATAAGGCCTATTAGCTCAGTTGGTTAGAGCGTCGTGCTAATAACGCGAAGGTCATAGGTTCGAGACCTGTATGGGCCATTTTTTATTTATTTATGATTTCTCTTGAGTCTAAAGTCTAAACCTCTCCTTTTTAAGGGAAGTGGGTAAGTGGTGATATGGTGGAAGAAGGATTGAACATAGGGGAAATAAGAGAGAGACCCAATTGGGGTTGAAGTATCAAGATGAGACATGATGGATCATCCAACTAAAAATTGAAGGATGGGATATCTCATTGCAATTTGCTTGCTTGCTGTGGTTGGTTGCAGCTCCATTGGCAAGGAAAAGAAAGAAACTTAACCAAGGAAAAGGGCTAGCACTGCGCTTCCTCTCACTCATCAAAAGTTGTCCATATCCACACATAATAAATGAAAGAAAACCCTTTCGGGACTGAAGTTAAATGACTACTTGATGATGAAGGGAATCTCTCTCTACCAACAAATTAGTGGAGCCAATGAGTTACAACAACCCCACTAGAAGGTGGAGAACTGAGTGAGTATCCCAATTCCTCTATTTCTGCACCTTCAATTTTTACCGTTGTTTCCTCATGGGTCAATTTTTTTTGTTTATACCTCTTTCACCATGGGAATAGGAATAGAGGGTTTGGTTGCTTTTGTCTCGCGCGTAAACAGAGACATGGAATGCCTCACTTGCTATACATGAACTAGGAAAAACAAGATCATATGAGAAAGGAAGAAAGCCAGAGCAGAGCATGCTGTAAATCGAAAATGGATAATATGGTTTGAGCTATTGGGAGAGATACTTTAGCTTGCTCACGAGTGATAACTCTCAAACGATTTCTCCGCTACTGGATTAATTAATCGACTTGTCTTGTTCTTGTTAGATTACTTGTTTGATGTCAACTAAATTTTGGGAATTATTTGTGAGCTGTTTGACCCGGATTAGTACCGGGGGATTAGTGTGGAACCTTGATTCGGACTCCATCGTCTGATCTCCTCGGGAGTGGAAGAATCCTGTGAAGAGTCGGAGGCGGCCCCCGGGATCTACATTCCGACGCTCAAGTTAGAATAGGATATATGATAGAGTGTAGAGAATGTAGAGAGAGATAAGGTTTAGAGAGAGAACCATAAGTGGTAAAGTGAGGGAAGGGAGAGAAGTCCCTTTGCTTGGAGGGTCTGGCCTCCTTATATAGGAGTCGGAGGCATCCTGTGGACGCCTCCCGTTGTCATGGACGCCCCCGGTAGACTGGTCGCCTTCCGTCGATGGACGCCTTTCGGTGAATGGTCGCCTCCCGGTGGTGGACGCCTCCCGGTGATGGACGCCCTCCGGATGGACTGGACACCTCCCGGTGTACTGGACCCTCGAATGGGCTCGGGTCCAAGGTGAGACGCTTTGTGGTGGGCTTGGGCCCGTATTAGGCGGGTTAATACTAGACCCAACATTTGCCCTTTGCTTCTTGTATTCTGTAAGAATGGAAGGAGTAAAATAATGCGTTAAGGTGTATTAACTTGCCTTACTTGTGAGTCCGCATGATGCGGTTTTGCCCCTTGTGCGACCATTGCTTGGTGATGGACGCCTTCCGATGGACGAGACGCCTCCGGGTGACAGGATGCCTCCCGGTGATGGACGCCCCCGAGTGGACTGGACTCTTGCGAGTCCAAACGATGCGGTTTGCCCCTTGTGCGACCATCGTCTTTACTTCTTTGTTTAGCATTCGATGTCTTGAGTTAGAGCTCTCAAGTCGTTTGAGATTTCCCCACTAGCCCATTGCCGAACGTGCTAATATGTAGGCCGTAACTGTGAGCTTTATGCGTTAAGCTGTTGGACCGCGAGGTGGTCATGAGCTTGTGTGCATGTGTAAGCGTGAGTTGTTGGCTGAATATTAGGTATTAGCTATGTGATAGGGAGGGCGGCCCCCACGACTTGAGAGTTTTCACTCAAGGCGACGTTTGTGTTTTGAAGACGCCACACCTGCTGAGAGGCGGGATCGTATTTCTTGCTATACCGATGTCGCGCCTACTGGGAAGCGGATTCGGGCTTCTACCTCGAGGGGAAGCATCGCTCAGGAAGCGGGATGCGGTTTTATATCTGCGAAAGATGTGAGTGACTAGTGCCCCATATTTTTAGAGCACAAACAGAAGCATAGTATGCGTGAAATATGTCATAGTATAGTGGAAATGATTCTCTTCATGGCATGACATGGTATATGAGATATATTTTGTCTAGCATGATTCGGAATAAGCATCTTCATGACATATGCTATAGGATATATCTTGAAAGGGAGAACTTAGCTTGAGAATAAGTTGTATAAGACAGCTGGGAAGCGGTTAATTAACAGGAGTCGCACTCTGATTTACAAAGAAGTCTTGTAGCTCAGTGGTTGTAGCCGCTGCTAATTTGGAGGCGTGCACGAGTTCGATTCACTGTGGAAGCGTATTTCCTTTCTTTTTAATAACTGGAACCCGGATTGGACTAATGAGGACGAAGTGGGCCTGACTGCGATGCGGTCTGAGATGTTGATGGGCCGCGCTTGATTTGCTTGAGGCGAAGAAGCCCGCATGAGGGCATTGGAAACTTTTGGCGGGAAGGGCCTAAGAGCTTAAGCGGGTAGTGATGCAAAGCGGGCCGGGTTGGACGTCTGATGGACGGTAGTTTATCAGAGCCCGGGCTGGAGGCGGTTGCTTGGCCCTCTGGATTCGAGGCGGCCTGCGCGGGATGTGGCTTCGATGAGGTATTGGTCTTCTTAGGCGGGCTGGGTGTTCTTGGGCCGTCTGAGGCGAACTCTATCGTGGGCTTTGAGGTGCGTTTGCGGGCCGAACGAGTTGTGAGTTGGAGGCGGGCCCAAAGTGAGGTGTGCGGTTGCACGGTTGGCGGTCGAATGCGGTTGAGCCGAGAATTCGCCAGGCTTTGTTGGCCTGAATGGAGGCGTGTCGGGCTGGAGTGACGTTAAGTATTGGCTGCTGCGTTGTTGATCAACAAAGACTTGTTGTGGCATACTGGTCGGCGCATTTATCTATCAAAGGGAGGTCGGCGGTTCGAAGGTTGGTTGAGGCGGCTCTCTTCTTTTTTAATTAGGTGTGCTTCTGATACTCTGATTCGAGCACTGGGCCCTGGACGCATGCATGGAAGGCGGGTTGGATGTTGTTGGGCCGCCGGAGGCGGGTCGACACCTCCATGGAGGTTCCCCACGCGACGCTGGGTTGGGCCGCCTTTCGGAAGGCGGGCTGGATTGGCCTAGCGGCGGGTTGTTTCGGGCCGCCTTTGGACAGCTAGTGATGACGTTGACAGGCTCTCTATCCTCGATTTGTGGGCTTGTCTAATTTAGCAGACCAGATCTGCTTTTGAGAAGAGAAAGGACAGGCTCTGTATCCTCGATTTGTGGGCCTGTTTACTTTAGCAGACCATATCTGCTTTTGAGAAGAGACGACAAAGACTTCTTGGGGGGAAGATGATGATGTTGACTGCGATATTTTCTTCTTTTCCTTGTCGGACAGTGACGCACGCAACGCCGGTGACCGGAGTTGCCGAGATCTGGCGGTTTTTTTCCTTCTCTAGCTGCTGCTTTAGTCAGACTTTGCAGCGGTTGTTGTTGCTGCTCTTCTTAGTTGTTTGACGTCAATGGCCTGGCGGGGAAGGAAGTCGAGTTCCCTTTTTTCTTTAACCTCTGATGGGTTTATTTTCATCTTCAGAGATGGCTATTGAGACTTCAAGTTGGTAGCGGGAGAGGCGATCTCTTCCCCTCTTCGAAAATCAGACGAAAAGAATCTCAAAATCTCGGCCTCACGGTGGGCGCCAAAATGTTTGACCCGGATTAGTACCGGGGGATTAGTGTGGAACCTTGATTCGGACTCCATCGTCTGATCTCCTCGGGAGTGGAAGAATCCTGTGAAGAGTCGGGGGCGGCTCCCGGGATCTACACTCCGACGCTCAAGTTAGAATATGATATATGATAGAGTGTAGAGAATGTAGAGAGAGATAAGGTTTAGAGAGAGAACCATAAGTGGTAAAGTGAGGGAAGGGAGAGAAGTCCCTTTGCTTGGAGGGTCTGGCCTCCTTATATAGGAGTCGGAGGCATCCTGTGGACGCCTCCCGTTGTCATGGACGCCCCCGGTAGACTGGTCGCCTCCCGTCGATGGACGCCTTTCGGTGAATGGTCGCCTCCCGGCGGTGGACGCCCCCGGGTAGGCTGGACGCCTCCTGGTGATGGACGCCCTCCGGATGGACTGGACGACTCCCGGTGTACTGGACCCTCGAATGGGCTCGGGTCCAAGGTGAGACGCTTTGTGGTGGGCTTGGGCCCGTATTAGGCGGGTTAATACTAGACCCAACATGAGCCTTCCTACAAACCCTACTGGCTATGAACTAGCTGCCTATAGCTTCTGATTCCTCAATCATTCCTTTTCTGTTCATGGCAAGACTGGACAGCCAATGTATAATTGATGAACTGATAAAATTGTTGGGTCCGATCGTAATTCATTATAGCCCTTCTCTAGCTCGACACTTGTAACTTTGCGCA